TATAAAATAAAAATTAGCAATAAAAAGTAGAAAAGCGTGTTTGTTTGTTAACAAGTGCAGGGCGAGAGCAAAAGAGATGGCAAGGCAGCGAAGGAAAGAGAAAGAGCTAGAGCTGAAAGCTGGGAGTGAAGATGACGGCGGCGACATCAAATGGATTTCATGTCACGTTACACAAATGTGCCAAGGAATTAAAAATGTGAGGATAGCAAGTTGGAATAGCAACTGTTGCTGTCTTGTAGTTGTTGTTGTTGCTGCTGCTGTGGCTGGTGCTGCTGCTTTTGTTGCTGTTGTCCCATTAGCGTGCTACTGCAGCAAGCTTAAATGCGAAAAGTGTGTTCATTACTCCCAGCTTTTCCCACTCTCTTTATCTCGCAATGAAAATTATTTTCATTTTCGCTTTGGTGCGCTCACTTGCCCAAAAGCTAAACACACACACACACAACTCTTTCTCCAGTTCCTCAGTTGCTTTCTCCACTTCACTGGCATATCCTTTTTCCGCTCTCCCCCTCCCCCTGGTTAACCTTTGGCTCTGGGCGGAAATTTCAATTATTTATTACGCATACGCAGCGTTGTTAGCTTAATGACTAGCTCCAGCAGCAAAACCCGAAACTGTAAGCCAAAAACCAAGCAAATGTGATTTAACCAAGACCAGGATACACCAAACATTTGCCACAAAATTGCATATAAATCATGGGGGATTTACAGAGGGCAGAAATATTAAGTACTAAGTAGGAAGAACGTTGGGAGTAAGTTATCTGAGAAATTGAGCTTTGGTTTTGGCCTAAAATAAATAATAATAAATAATAGAAAATCTAGCTATAATTTTGATGTAAAATTCTAAAATGTTAAGCTTAATATATCCTTTTTTTCCTACTTTTAACTTCCAATTTGAATATCCCAAACCTTGTTTGTGTCACCTGAACCATATTTCCTTTATAAATAATTTCCATATGCCAAAGGCTACAATTCCCCCTTTTGAGTAAATCGCATAATAAATGCACTTGTACACATAGCTTCCTATTTTCCAACATCCTTTTCCCTTTACCATTTTCCATTTATCCTTTCCCCGGGTTAGGACTTCAAACTGTGTGGCATAAAAATCGGTCTCATTTTGATTGGCATCATTGATTGAAACAACACGAATCGCTTTGCTCACCAAATTACTTGCAAAAAAAAAAAATAGAAAGAGAGGAAAAGGTAGAAGTGAGCTTGTTGCCACCTCTCGTCCCTTTCCGAATCCTGGCTAAATTATTGAGTGAGTGAACGAGTGAGTGATTGTGTCACGGACTAAAGCGAATCGAGCTGGGGCCAACAACTAATTGGATTTGTGCCGACAGAAGGAGGATCCAGGAAGTGTTTTGACAATTGTCACAATTAAGTTCCGGGGGACTGAGGACCGAGGACCGAGGACATGCCAATGTCCTGGACAAGGCCACTTTGCAAGTTCATTGCACCTCGAAGGCTAAACAAACGTCGCGCAATTGATGGACTGAGGAAGGGCCCACGAGGACAATGTTATGCGGCATAATTCACATAAATTATGCAATTTATACGCGACATATGCAAAGCCTCAAAATGGACACGACAATGCAAATGATATGGCAAATGTAGAAAGGGCAGGAAGTGTTGTTCTTACACTATGAAAACAAAAGGGGAATATGACTTGGTTTTAAGGGAGACTAAATCTCAGAATGGGAGTTTATTATTTAAATATAAGAAAATATTCCAGAGCTAGATAAGTGAATTTACTTTCCCATTAAATAGTTATTCATGTTTCTAATTTCTATGGAATATTTTTAGCTCTCTTTACCCAATTTTTATTCACAGTGATAAGCACATCAACTACATAAAGAAATATGTAACAAGTTGTCGTTGGCCAAGAGAGGTGAAGGACTTGACTTGCTGCTGCTTCCACAATTCCATGATGACAACTGAGAAAAGGGGTGACGACCAAGGGGCTCCAGGGGAGTACAAAGCTTTGAGCTTAGACATATGCACCAAACAAACACTCGTACAAACACACACATTTTATATTGTTGCAGTGTAAAAACGTCAACGTGGCCCATTAGAAAGTGAATAGACAAGGTTCAAGGGTTGTGCGGTCACAAACACACACACAAAGGCTTTAGACTTTAGGGGGTGTAAAGCCCTTAGTCCCAAGTCCCCCCTCAAGACCCTATATATCCGCAAAACCCTCTACTTTTTAAGCTGACAAGCGGAAAGTAGTTGACTGCAACGGAAAAGCCCTGGGAAATGGGGAGAGAGATCAGTATCTAACAGATACATATTGTATATGCAGGTGAAGGTATTAGCATTTAATGATAGTAATCATTTTAATTTGTTTAAGGAATATAATATAATAAAATATGAGATAGAAAGATTGCTAAGGAATCAATTTCTTCGAGAAGTACAACTCTCAGCTATTTCTTCTAAAATTCTATGCTTTCAAAACACCTACCAAAACTAATATCCTAATCTCCTAATACCCTTTTATTTATTCCCTTTCATTTTAATTAAATGTAATTTATTTTTATATATTTTTTTCACCGCTTTTCCGCTTCACAATTGACTGACTGATTGAATCTCTTTGTTCCGCTTTAAGTGTTTAACAGTTCCCTGGGGTGTCGCTCGCTTCGAGCCAGTTCCATTTGAACAAAACGTATTCTCATTTCCTCCTAATTCAGATCCACACACATGCACACACATCCTCCACGGATGCCCCGCTAGAGTTTTATAGATTTATAAATTCAAATATCATGGCCACTGCATCCGAGGCAGACAGAAAGACAGACAGACAATGGAGTCAAAGGAGGCGAGTTGCTCCTGCTGTTTCCACTGCAGCTTGTTGACAAAAACAACGAGAACAATGCACGAGCAGCCACACATGGAGTTAAGGATATAGTCCGGGGGGCACTGGGAGGGTTAAGGGGCGGTCTGCTCTCCCTCTCTGTCTCTATCAGCAGCTCTATCTGCTTCGTAGTGACAGCGAAACACTGCAATAAAAGTGGTGGCACGTTGGCGCGGAGGGGTGGAATTTACATTTAGTTTATGAGTAGACAAGCGACGACAATAGTGGGGAAGAAGCATCCTGATGACCGCCCCATCCTTTGCAGACCTCTGCCCCACATAGTGCTCCTTGTGCGTCTTCTTCAGCTGTGACTGCTACTGCTCTGCTGAGCTACTGTTAAAATCACTGAGGGAAATTAGGGGTTTTTAAATAATTAAACCTGAATTAAGGTTCGTTTCCCTCATATACAGTAAACTATATAATTTTCCTAATATTAATTACTTTTTAGAACTTTAACTAATCGAAATATCTTAAATATTTTCAAATTTTCATGTATAATACTCACCAAAAATAGTTTCAAGTGCTCCATTTCCGCAGCTGTTGTTGTTGTGGTGCGCCGAAAAGGTCATACACAATGAAATGCACAAATGTCAACATTTAACGGTCAAAATGGTCGCCAGCAACAGACAAGGGGAAGCACACACACACACGCACACACATACACAAAACTGGTGTCCAAAGGGGATATAGACTGGGCATTGTGACTGCCAGGAAGTGGAATCCCCACAGTAGACCTTAGCCAGCGTTTGCTGGCTTAAACTTTATGGCCCAAAAGAAAAGTCGCCGGACACAATGGCCAGAATAGAAGCAACAGGGGCGGCCAAGCCAGCTTTGGCCAGCTTCTCATTTGCCAAGCCAACTAATCAGGTTGACAGAGAGGCCAGTGTGCTTTGGATTTGGAGGCGGAGGCAAAAATACAGAGTGAATAAAAGAAACTTGAAACAAAGTATTGGTTTAAAAATCAAATAAATATTAAATTAAATTAAATAAATATTCAATTAAAAGGTTGTCATAATTGTAAGTTCAGGAAATGCTTATAAACAAATAAATAATAATAATAATAACTTTTAGTATTCCTTAGTTCTTTCATCTTACAAGATCTTCACCTAATTTAATCTAAAAATGTGCATAAATAAATATTTAAATTCAAGAAAATAATAATATAATTTGGCACAAGACATAAATTTGTATTATTATTCCAGAAGTCAACTTTTATAGACCTATTAAGATAAGTTTTTAAGCCTTTTTGAGTCACTAGGTCAACCTTAAAGATCTTAAATCTTAATAAAATAAATAAACCACATTTCAGGTTAACAAACCAGAACATAAAGCCATATCAAACCCAATTAAAAAAGTGTTTTAAAAAATATCAAAATAAATATGTCTCTCTCTTTGTTCCCCTTTTGCTATCTCATTCTGGCTCAGGTGGCCATTCCTGTCACAGGACCCTGGCAAAGGACCTTTGTGGCAGTTCAATCGTAATGAACTATGCACAAAACTGACCTCGAGGCATAGTGTGAGTGTTTGGTGGACAACACAGACCAACACAGTTTTTGCTCCACCTGCATAGCTCTTACTCTATCTTTGTGGCATTGTTCTTCTCTTTTTCGCACAAATTACATTTTTTGTTGGAATGGACCATGTTTTTTAGGGTTGCCTGTGGATTTTCATCCGCTCCCTTTATCAGGGGGCGTGAATGGCATCCCCTAAAAGTGCAAAGAGCCCTAAAATTATGTCTAGCCAGGAAGCAAACTTTTTGTCCTTTGTCCAAACACTTTATTAGTGCTACAGTTACAGCCGAAAAAAAAAATGTATAAAAAAGGATTTGAGAAAAAGGCTTTATTCAGCGGAGAATGATTCAGCTGAGATTCTTAGCGGTTGTAATTAGCAAAGGATTTGAAGAGATTTTACTTAAAAAAACAGCAAGAGAAATAACCGTCAGACATTGCTTACTCTCTTGGAATTATATAATCAAATTTAAATGTTGTTAAATAATGTTTTCTAGCAACCCAAAATGGAACCATTTTTATGGAGTGTGTTTAATGAATTTAACCTTTGTTGTTTTACTCTCGCTTACTGTGTTCAAAGTTTCTAAAGTGCAAATAGTAATAACAATAATAAATATTAAACAAACATTTAATTTGAATATATATATTTTATAGAGAATACGTTTATTAAAATAAAAATTATTTAATTTCCTCAAAAACGCAGGGACTTATTGAAAAACAGTTAAAATTCGAAATTTTAGTTGTTCCTTTTTTTTGAACAACATCTTTAGGGCAATCAGATCGCAAGACACATGCCGGAATCCTTTCGTCAATTACATATCCTTTCTTACAGGCACAAGGACTTCCACACATTCTATTGCACGCACCTACACCATTAAATTCACAAGTTTCTGGACAAGCGCCTGGACACAAGTCCACTGTGCCATTAACAGTGCAGTCCACATCGGGTAGAAACATCCAACAAGGACTGACGAAGATCAGGAGTCCAAGGAGAGCGAAGATTGCCGGTTTCCACATGTTTAGTTATTAAAAGTTTATGGAAGTCTAAATAGTTCACCAAAGACAGCTTTCTATTTTATTTAAATTCAAGTGGAACCGTTTTAGTCGAGTGTGTTTAATGAATAATAAGCTTGACTAATGCAAATGTCAAATACTTTCACACTCGCTTAGTTTATTGCAAAGTCTCTAAGTTGATCTACAAAAAATATATTGAAAAAAATCCAAATTTCATTTATTGATCGCAGGGACTCATTCCAAAGCATTTGAAATTCTCAACTAAAAGTGTTCCTTTTCTTTGAACAACTTTTTTCGGGCAATCAGATCGCAAAACACAAGCCGGAATCCTTTCGTCAATTACGTATCCGTGCAAACATACACAAGGACCATTGCAAGCACATAAGCCACCACCACTCCATCCACAAGTTTCTGGACAAATGCTTGGACACATGAACTGAGTTCCATTAACAGTGCAGTCATATGTTTTCTTTGGAGCAGACATCCAACAAGGACTGACGAAGATCAGGAGTCCAAGGAGAGTGAAGGTTGCCGGTTTCCACATGTTGGTTTATTAAAATTGTATGGAGGTCTAAATAATTATCCAATCAAAGCGTCTTTTTATTTAGTTTTAAGTGAAACCGATTACATTAAGTGTGGATAATGATTTTAACTTCAGAATGAATTAACTTTGGTTAATGGAAATGCCAAATACTTTTATTCTCGAGTCTCTAAATAGATCTCCATGATCTCCTTGTGAATCAATTGCAGGGACTCTTAGAAAAGCAATTGAAATTCCGAACTACAGTTGCTCCATCTGCTTGAACCACATCTTTTGGGCAATCAGATCGCAAAACACAAGCAGGAATCCTCTGGTCAATTACGTATCCTGGCTTGCATACACAAGGACCTCCGCAAGATCTATCACAGAGGCCAACACCATTAGATTCACAAGTTTCTGGACAATTGGGGGGGCAGCTGGTCTGAGTTCCATTAGCAGTGCAGTCACGAATTGGAGGAGACATCCAACAAGGACTGATGAAGATCAGCAGTCCAAGGAGAGCGAAGATTTCCGATTTCCACATGTTGGTTTACTATGGAGGTATAAGTAATTCCTCAACCAAAGCGTCTTTTTTATTTAGTTTTGAGTGGAACAAATTGCATTAGGTGTGGATAATGATTTTAACTTTGGGTTAATAAAATATAATTTAAATATATAATTGTTTTATGTTCGCTTCTTTTTTGTAAAGGGCTCTTAGCATTAAACAAAACATAGTTTTAACCTTGGTGAATAGCCACAGAATTCAACTCATTCCTTTGTTTTAGAAATTTTTAACTCAACAGTATATTTTTCAATTCTATTTTTATATCTACCAGTTTTTAGCTAATTTTCTTAAACCTCTTTCTATTATTTATTTATTCCAGTATCATTACATTCAATTTTCACATGACTTTCGCACAGGGAAGTGGACAATTTGCATGCATTGCCATCGACAATTGTTCTAATACTTTGGACCCTGTTTGTCGGGAGTACCAGATGTTGCCTCTTTGGCTGGGATTCTGCAATTGCAGTTACTGCATTTTCGAAGTGAATGCACTGATAAAAATAATCAAAGAACAATAGAAACAAGTTCTGAATGAATATGTTAAATTAAGTATATTTTAAAGAACCTAAAAGTAATAACATATTGAATAGTATTTCACTAACTAGATAAAGAAACATATGCCCAAGAGAAGTCTTACTAAAGTAGTAGACAGGAAGAAAATTTATTAATTAATTAATAAAATTTAAGCTTAAACTGTGGTATAAACTCCTTTAAATATTTTAAAATAAATATCATTTCACACTTTTGTATCTTTCCAAATAAAATTTATTAGAATTATATCAAATCTTTGCCATTTTAACAACATTTTGTTAGCCTTACTTAGATGACCCAATTTCTATGAATTTTTCTTTCTCTGTATGCTCATAATTATGGCAATTGGCAGACTGGATTGCAATGCAATGTGCGCCTAAAATTCTGCAGTAGCAACACTTTGGCGTGTAAGGGAGGGGAAATGGGGTTGCTGCTGCAGCAGCAGCTGCGGCTGCCATCAGTTGCTGTTGCTGTCGTCGTCTTTTTGGAATTTAATTAAAGTTTACACAAGTAAACAAATGACAGTCTGCAGCCGCCAACATTGCAAGATATTTGTCTGCATTTGTGTGTATCTGTATCTGTATCTGTGTCGCTGTATCTGTCTGTGTCACATGGCCACAGTACGAATGAAAAACCAAGAAGTCGGACTAAAATTTTATTAAAGAAAACTCACAGAATTGCTAGACGAGGTAAAGTTTTCAGTCAGACAAAAATTCTTTACATTTTGGTAGGCATTGAAATGAATAAAAGTTTCTAACGAGGGTTGAATGAAGAGATTTAAGAAATTATTATTATTAATATAGAAAACTACGTTAATAAATGTAAATATTTATAATAAAATAAATAAACATTGAATTAAGAATTCAGATATATATTTTCCAACAAACTTTAGTAGCTACCTCCGTTAGAAAACTATTCCAACTGACTGTTAATGGTTTCACGTGTGCGGTGGCAAGTTTGTTGTTTTCAATGATGGCAGCTAGTGCCGTAACAACAACCACAAACTATTTTGGTATTTTTACTATTTTGCAGCAGCGTAAAACTAAAATCTACCGAATTATGCAACAAAAAATTAATTAAACACAATTTAGTTTGGCCTGAGCCCCGAACCTACCCATGAGATGAACGTGCGCCACAAAAAACCGCGTTGCGCGAAAATCGCTGCGGTTTTCTTTTTTATATATATAGATTCGTAAAAGTACAGTGGAACTTCGACAGTAACTAATTAATAAATAGTTAAATATTAAATAAATATTAAGTAACTAAAATCATTTTATTAGTAAACTTTATATATATAAATTATTTGAATCTTTAAAACGTTTATTATGAAAAAAAGCTAATAATATTCTTTGAAAATTATATGTAAATTCAATAACCTCTACTTTAATTTATCAATTTTCTATTATTTATATTTATTTACTTAATATATTATTTAAAAAAGGCTGTACTATGCTTAACTCTAGGTGTAAACAAAAGCCTTATTTTGTTATATATTCTTAACTATTTTCATCCCAAAAATAATAATAATTTAGCATCATAAATGTCACTCTTTAAAAGCTTGACTGTAGTAAAGAGCGACAGTAAAATTATTGTTATGCAAAGCCTGGCGAAAAAAAGGCCAATGGAAAAGTGACCACAAGCTGCAGAAAAAAAAGGGTCCTGGGGACAGGGGCCACATTCCCAAGGGCGGGTTTGGGTTAGCCGGGGGGGAGGTAACGAGAGCTCTTTGCGGCTACTTGACTTAATACCTGCAATAATTATTATAACGATGCAGGACAAAGACAGGAAGGGCATTAAAGCGGCCAACAGCCACGGCAAAGAGAGCAAATCTTTTTATGCAATAAAAATATATATGGCTCGGCAACAAACAAAGTTTGAAACGGGCCCATAAAAATGGCCAGGATAAGCACTTGGACTTTGCATCGAGCGATTTATTTTTTATTTATTTTCATTTATTTACTTCGTTTTTCTCATTGCTCGTACACACAATAGAATTTATTGCGGCAAGGTTGTGAGGTTGCCAGGGTGTTCTGGCTTCCAAATTCTAGAAAACAATCAAATTTCATAATTTTAAAATATTTTAAATAAATCTAAATAGTATATTTTATGTATAGGTTGGATTATTAACTTAATTCTAAACATTTCAAATATTTATATTTATTTTCTCCACAGTTCAAGTCGTAAATATGACCTTTAAGTCGAGCATATTTTTCTGATCGTTTCCTATAAGTTTATACCAATATTTTAATAACACAAATATCGTAAAAGTAAATTTATTTTCTTCTATTTATAGGCGAATCTTTATGGAAAACGATTAAGGGAATCCCTTTTGGCCAGCAAGACCGTATTTATTTGAAAATGCCATTTGAATATGGCGCGTCCCGTGGGCGCTTTTCCCTTACCCTCAACTTTTCTACTCTCTCTTTGCTCACGCCTTTCATTAAATTCAATTTAAAAAAGAAAATTTTTAGTGCCCTGCCATAAAAATAACAGCCAACAAGCGAAAAGGAGCCAGAGGCAAGGGCCAAAAAAAAAAAAGGATCTACGGATGACGACAACGTATCGCGAAGGTCATCAATTACAGGAGGTCCACCTACCCCGTACGCCCAGTGATCCCCTTAACAGGCCCCACCCCCTAGGGAGAACCAACAACAACAACAACAAGCAGTTGCAAATAACTTGGCTGAAGCCTCACATTATCCGGCCATAAGCACAAGTAGGAAGCTGGTCCTTCAGTCTGAATCCCTTTTATTATTTCTCCTAATACCCTAGATGAAGGTATATCTATTTTTACAAGGATTATATATTTTAAAGAATAAAACTAGCTAAGGGTTCCTGAAGTTATACCAACCATTACAAATTTATATATCATTTATTTTAAATTTTAAAAAATAAATAAAAGGAATATTTGCTCAGAAGCACGGCTAGATTATTAAAATTCAATTTAAAATAATTTAAAAAATAATTATAAGTAAGAGTACCCAAACTTTTACTTTCCCAAACAAAACCTCCTTTTGCAATTTGATTTTTTCCGGCTGGTTTTTTTTTTTTTTTTTTTTTTTGGGAAAAACAAAAATGGAATCCTCTGCAGATATTTCAAAAGCCATTGACACCCTTTTCGGCGAGGCGTGGCTTGGCCAGTGTGTGGGGTTAAAGGCAATGCCTCGGCTTGGAGGCCTGCCTTTGAAAAGCTGAATGACCAAATAAATCATATCAAAGTGTCATATAAAAATCGTAATCAGATTTTGAAGCGCACACAGGGGCCAGTGTCTGGGCGACAGAGAACTGGGGGGGGCAACGAGACGGGACAAGAAATATGTTGCCGGGCTTGGCATGCCCATGCTCTTACGCTTTTCTGTAAGCCAACTCCATTAAAAGTGCTTATAAATAAGGTGCTTGAAAGGCAAGTGCATGGAGAGACACACAGAGGCCCAGGACGCACACGGATACACACAATGGCCCTAGGTCTGGGGCCATAACCAACAAACGTTGCACCCAATGCTGATATATCCTCAAAAATGGGCACCGCAACGGAGAGATGACAGCGTGACAGGACATTTGGGAGACAAGGGAGCACGAAGGGAATTTTTGTATATTTTTTATAAAGAAAAAAAATATATTTGGTAAGCAGTTTAAACTAGATTTTTGAGAGGGTTTTGTTTCTAAGCCAAGATTAGTTATTTATTTAATAATTTAAATATAAAATTAATATATAAAAGCTCAAATATATTTAAATGTATAGATTTTCCTTTTAATTTAAATTTTAATGTTGATTTTATCTTAAGCTTTTATATCTGTATCTCAAAAAGTATCTACCACAGTCTCATCTTCTCTTCTTGACCTTCTCTTGTCACAATGCAGATACTTCCATCATTGTGCCATCGCTATTGGTAACCCCCAAAAATGGGAATCTCGCAACGTAACCCATTGGCCGCCTCTGTCGCACAAAAGTTTTTGAGTGTGTAAATTGCAAAAGACTATTTGACAAACGTCGGTCAAAAGCACAGGACATGACAGAGTGCCAGGACATTGGGCGAACTGGGGAAAGGGGCAGGGGATCAAAGGCTATGACCGTAAGGACAACCTGCTTGGGACTTGGGCACAGGGCCCGCTCCTCGCTGAGAAGAGGGTTTACCCTGCAGTTAATAAAAAATAATGTGCTTCAATGCGGTTTATTCAATTTTATGGTTCGGACTTTTCAAAAAGCCAAGCACACACATAAACACTCACTCACACAGACACGCACACTACTACAGACAATGATTCTCATCATCTTTGAGACACTGGAATAAATTATTATAATTTTAAAAGCATATTTATTTGAGATAATCTTCTGTTTTGACAAGTATCTTATTTTTCTATATTAATAAAAAATATTTTAATATAAAACAAGACTTACTTTTGTCATAGAAATTGAAAATAAACCTTATAGTGGCTTGAAATATATATAACTATTTTTTTTTTAC